TAAACCCAGGTTTACAATGTAGTTTGAAGACTTGGAAGTGTGGAGTCCACAAGTGCAGGTCCCACAGACCGCTGTTCACAATACCGTTTAGACATGCCCAACGGTGCCAGGGAGAGTTAGTCATGAGGCCTCCACTGGCTGTAGAGAGGTCAAAGCCTCCTACTGCCCCAGGAGGAGAATCATGTCCCTCCCACACCTCCCACTGCTGATAGGAGAAGCAGAAGGAAGAAACTTCTGTACACAGAATGAACCCTCGTATGAGACAGTAAAGTGCTACATTTTATTCATCGTTAGACATACAGTCCAGTGCATTCCTGCAGACATAAAACCTCCTCATGCAAATGCCATTGCAAGCCTGCTATTTGTTGCGGTGCAAAGTATGATTTAATCTTCATGGCTGGTAATGATTTTTCCTGGGAGCGGCTCTATTACATATATTTTCATAGGGATTAAAACTAAATCCTACAGACCCTTGGGACTGCTTGCCTGGAAATCTGCCAGACAAGCTCCCGCTTCCAATTAAGGCATCATACACGGCTCAACTGGTGTAAAGCTTTTGCCATTGCTTAACCCATTTGCTAGATAACCCTGTCTGGGTCATGCAAACAGCACCCAAGTGGCTGACTACAGTAGGCTGAAGATGAACTGACTAACATCACTTGAACAATAAAAGAATACCCTGGAATGAATTATTTGCTGGCTTTTAGCAACAACAACTTATCTTCGCACTGGAAGCAGACCACATCACACTCCCAAACCAGGGATCTGAACCTGAGAAAAAGCAAACCGTTGTGTAGGAAGTAGAGCTGCAACCTTCAGAAGGTCCTGTTTCAGCACAGTTCACTCACAGCTCATTAGGAAGGGCTCTGTTACAAGGAAAGGTGGATCAGATGAGAACACCTGACCCACTTTCTGCAATAAATGTCTCTCCAGCTTGTAAAACTAAAATAGGGGAATGTTACTGAAATGAGAGCCTCCCACAAACCGTAACAAGGCTGAATCATACCCACAGTCAGTAAATGACGATGTTTTCACTGTTTCCAATCTACAGATGCAAGGCATCGCACTGTATATGTTCAGTGCCAAAAGAATTGTCGTCATTTTGACCTTTGAAGGCGGCTAGCAATTCACATGATAATACTCTGTAACTGCACTTTGTGGAAACTGCTGCAGTATCTGCTAGAAATAGGCAAAGCTTCTGGAGGAGGTTTACAACCACATAAATTCTGATGAGCCATCACAAAACTAGCTTGAATTAGCAAACTTTGCCCTCTGTAATTTAAACCCAATGATTCATTTAAGGATAGGTCAATGTAAAAAAAAAAAAACCCAAAGAACAAAAAACAACAAACAAAACCTACCGGTATTTTTTACTCTCAAGGGAAGCCTGGTCTATGTGCTACAATACCCTTTCAGAGGTAGAACGGCCATACAGAATTTCAAGGCTCTTCAGAGGGCTAAGGCATGAACGAGAGATTCTTCTGGGGGTTTCATATTCAGAGATAGAGCAGACACGGTTAAACACTCAACATCCATTGTCTCGGGTGTTCTTCAAGAACATGGCTATGATCTTCCACTTATTGTTACCCGATACGGTAAATTTCACATTCCTGGTCCCACACCTCAGGCTCATTATCCAGCATGTTCAATTATGTGAAACTGACCAAACCCATGCAGTTACTCTATGACATCAACTGAAGACCTAGTATAACAGGGATTTTGTCGGAGGAAATCACAAAGGGGGGGGAAGTTGGAACACATAAGGAAAGAGCGTAAGTTGCCAGGAGCCAATGGGAGGCTTGAGGGAAAGGTCCCTCATGCAGGATAAGATACCGCTGCTTCAGGCAAGAGACTTGACAGACATATCCACTCTCTCCAATCTGTGCAGTAGATGCAATGACCTAATCAAAGCAAAATGAGCTATAATAAACTGAATTCCCAATGCACTTTCCGCCTCTAGAAACAACAAAAACAAAATACACATTTATACAGCACAATCTTCACTCAAGAGAGTCACAGGTGCCTTACAATAAAAGCAGCACAGTTTAAAGTTCAGATGCAGCAAACAAAGCTAGTTTTTCTTAGCATTAAACACCACGATGGACTGAGTAAGTCAGAGAGATATCCAAGGTACGTTCCATGAGCATGGAGTATAGTTGTTAAAAGCACTCTCTCCTGAAAGAGGAAAGGTGATCTCTCTCCGAAAGACTAAACAACCTGCTGAAGGTGACCACAGTGAACAGCCAGGTGACCAAAGATCTGTCAAATGTACAGCCGACCACATTCACTTTGTTTTTCCATAAGGCAACTTGTGCCATCAGCTGCACAGCTTTAACGCTTCATTAGTTTTCAAATGTATGCCTTTTTGTAATGCTGGCCATTCATATAATCTCTCCAGATACACTTTCCTCTTCCAGATAACTTCACCATTGAAAATAGCAGACTTCTGGCTTGCACAAGTCACTGATTGTTGATAATACAGCAAATAATTTATTCCATGGCTGAAGATTGCATGCTTAGGCAATTGGGATTGTGATGAATTACTATCTCTGTTTCCAATGCTAAGCTTAAAACATTTGGCAGTTAGAAAAATGTTTCCAATACCAAACTACTGGTATTAGCAAACATTTACAGGATTAGCACTATAGTTTAGCATCTCCCAAAGGAAAAAGTTCCTTTCTGGCTTATTACAGTTTCTCCTGCATGCTTTCTTCCCTGTATAGCTCCTTTTTGTTTTCATACAGTCAGATTGTCAATGATGTACACACTCAAATACACATGCACAATCCAGCAGGTCTAATTAGTGTACGCATATACCATGACTGCAAAGCACAAGCTTGATATTTGCAAGCAGGCATGGCTAGTTAGCCATCTAACTAGCCATGTAAGCAATCAAGTGACCCATTTATTTTATTTAGATTTAAGTTTACATTGCACTCACAATTGATACCTGAATGCACAAATTAGGCCCACACAATTGGGCATGTAGATTTATACGGGCCCATCTTTGACAATCAGATCCTCAAGCATTCACTATTAAATCTGCAAAACACCCAAAATTCTACTGATGTAATTTTAAAATATAGATAAAAAATTAGGTTCTGCTCCCTGTACCTCCCTTCTACAGGCAAAATCCTGTTCACCTTACTCACATGAGTAGCTACACCAATGCCAGTGAAATTATACACTTGAAAACAGCAGGTAGTATTTGGCCCCCTTACTGTTCCTTCTCTGTACATGCAGATTTTCAGGCTCTGTCCCACTTCACCCTAATCCCCACAATCCCAGTCACCAATTCCAGCGGATAGTTCTGCAGTGCTTGTGATGTGCCCAGCCTGGGTGTCACTTTGGAAACATTTAGGATCACTATCAATATCGGCCTCTGGGATGGGCAAAGACTTTTGTCAATATCAAACCTTTGGTTCCAGCATGTATCTTTCATATCTCTGCCACATGTTTCAGAGAAGAATGTGGAAACAATGTGCCCAGTTGCAGGAAATGCAAATAAAGTGACAAGCCCCATTTCCTCTGCTCCTGTCCTGCCCCAGGTCATTTAATGATGATGTTCGATTACCTGTGAAAGTCCCTTCCTCTGCACAGCATTAGAGCTCTCCAAAAAAAGCAAGGAAAATAAGATGATTGAAATATTTAAGATGCTGTAAAACCATTCTACTGTCCCAGTACTTAGACATCTGCACATAGTATTAAACACATCGACAAAACGTGTATTTTCTATGTCATACACACAGTAGCTCAACAACAATCTAGCTTTTTGGAGTTGATTTTTTATAGATTGCAAGGTTAACTGAAACACATTACGTAAAAGACTCATTAAAAGCAAATTGTATGACACCACGCTGTAGGCATGCAGTCAGATTGCTGATTCCCCAATCTTAAAAACAAACTGAATGTGTTAAAAATAGTAAACAGATTTAACAAGCTGAGGAGCTTTAGAAAGTTGCTTTTTACAGTTCAGTATTTTGCAAAGATGGACCCAAGGTGTTAGCTGAGTTAATTAGCACAGAGATTATGCAGATCCTAATTTGATAGGTTTTGTTTGCATCCTTGTTATATAATCACTTAGTGGTTGTACAGAGCTTTGACAATGTAAAGCATTAGTAGAAATGCCAAGTATTGAGATTATCAAACAGTTAAATATTTCCCTCTTTCACCCACATTATATTAATATTTATTACATTTTTCAACAATCCCCTGCTATCATTTGCCAGCTATTCAAACAATGCTATATTTTGAAGATGATTCTTCACCAAAAGAACAGTCCGATGCTCTTGCCTAGACAGTATAAAACAAGAAACAGTCCTTTGTACAGCCATTTTAAAGCCATTTTAGAGGAGCTGAGAAATAGCAGGAAACTGAGAAGAGGTACAATATAGTGTCTTGCAATGATCTCCTCTACCTCCAGCTTCCATGGTGACAAAAGTTACCATTCTCAGGAGATAAAAATAGAGCTTACAGTAAAACCAAGCCAATGAGATAAAAGGTACAACCACCTTATGCAATCATCATGCTTTTTTGAAAAACAAACAGTTGGGTCACCTTGATTGTTTTAATACTATGGGCTAATTTAAGCTGGGCACCATCAATGCGTTTGCGTGCAAATTTTAACCAAATTCAAATTAAGACACTTAAAATGTACCCAGAATGATCTTTAAAATGCAAAGAAATCCTAGTCTCACTATACACCAGTGATCATACTTAACCTACACTGTATCTTGCAATCTAATCACAAGCTCCGACAATAAAATTGTTCAATTTTTCAGTTGTGGTTTCAGCTTTATTCCCTGGTTATTTATCTGCAGTGGAAGATGCTAAAATATACTCTACGTGTCAAGAGTGCTGATGCCAAGCATAGGAAACTGAAAATGCAACTAATTGTGAACAGTACAAGGATCCAATGCATATGGTTTAAATATTTCTCTTTTCATACTGTACTAATGCAAAGATCTACATGCAAAATAAAATAAAATGATTCTACTTACAGCCAACCATCATCATGGCCACCGAAAAAATCTTCTCTCCATCTGTGGTTGGAGCTATGTTTCCAAATCCTATTGTTGTAAGGCTTGTCATGGTAAAGTAGAGAGAGGATATATACAATGAGTCTTTGCTGGGGCCTCCTTCCCACTGCCCTGAGCCGCTGGTATTGTACCGATAGGGTGCCCCTATACTCAATGCCAACTGGTAGAGCCAGCTGTCTGTCTTGATGGTATTAGTGACTTCATCTATAACTTCATAGTCCCCAATGCTGTACCATATACAGGCTAGCCAGTGGGCCACTAGTCCAAAGACACAGACCAACAGCACTAGTACTGCAGCACCATATTCCAGATAATGGTCCAATTTCCTGGCAACACGACCAAGGCGTAGAAGTCGCACCACTTTTAAGGAACTGAAAAGGCTGCTGATCCCCTAGAAAAGAATAAGTTCCATTACATCATCAGAAATACACTATCGAGTAAAACAGCATGTAACACAAAAAGAACAGGAAGACTTGTGGCACCTTACAGACTAACAATTTTATTTGAGCATAAGCTTTCAGGAGCTACAGCTCACTTCCGAAAGCTTATGCTCAAATAAATTTGTTGTAGCACCTTAGAGACTAAGTCCTCCTTTTCTTTTTACTATTTTAAAGTCAATGGGAGGTTTAGCATGGATTTCAGTGGGAACAGGTCCAAATTTAAGTATACAATCCAGAAGGAGGCTTCTCTATGTTTATCAAAGAACTGCACCCCCTGCAGGACAGTAAATAGGGACACAGAATTGCCATACTGGATCAACCAATGGACCATCTGGTCCAATGTCAGTGCCATATGCTTCAGAGGAAGATTCAAGAAAACTTGTAAACAACAGCCATGGAATAACCTGCACACAGGGGAAACTTCTACTATGCCACCCATCAGTGAGTGGCTGGCCAACATCCTGAAACAAGAGAGATTACATCCCTTATTATTTGTAGTCACATCCAGTGTAATGTGGATGTCCTTTTATCCATATAGATAGCTCACTAATTCTGAGGGTGGGATACTACCTAATCACTGACAGCCCATTGCTCTGTTTAGTGGGTATCATATACACCAAGCGCCACTAGTCAGAAATGTACACGAAAGAGAATTTACTTGCTGGTCAACAGACAGTATAGATATTTCCCTACAGTACTTTTTTTTTACTCAAGAAAAGTACAAATTAATGGAAGCACAAATACTAGGAAATAGAAGCACACAGAAATGTTTTTAAAGTAATGGAAACATTTGGGAAGGAGCAGAAAGTGTGTATATCCCTCTGAACGCAAGTATGATTCACAATGGTGTTAATGGAAGTTATACATGCAGAATGAAGAAAAATAAAGCTCCCAATTTATTGTAATCCCAGGATATAACTAACTTCTGCATTAAATTAATTAGTGATTCAAAATAGAAGCCGTACAAAGGAAGAGTTCTAATATAAAATACTAAGAAGTCACAGACATTAAATTTAAAATAGAAATTAAGGCAATGAGGCAAACATTCTAAGTTTCTATGCGAAGATTTAATTGTACTTTTCTATGCATCATTATTGAATTAGTCAAAACATTAGCTAATTATATTACCAAACTGTAAAATACTAGAATTCCTGTAGTTAATTTCAGCATCAAAAAAACCTTATTCCCCTTATGCATCTGTGTCTCCTATCGCAGGCTGTATTTGAAGGGTAACCTACAACTGATGTTTCTAGATTCAATACATTAGACAATGGTCTTGTTTTTCAAATCCAGTACATTTTTCACATTCAGTCATTTTGTTTCAGACCCCCAAATCCTTAAATTGAAGATCTGTAACTGCATTGGAGTGCATACAGTGACTGACACTAAGAAAGGAAGTGGAATTTTCCAGTTTTGATTACGACAGTCTGCATTTATGTTCTCTCAATTTTACACAAGCTATCCTTACTCTGATTTCCAAATGAGCAGATGCTGGTTTGTTTATTCTGTAATACGTGGTCATTGGTAGAGCCCTGCAAATCTGCGGATACCCACTTTATATCCACAGACCATGTTTGTGGATCGGATGCGAATACAAACTTTGTATCCGCACAGGGCTCTAGTCCCATTGGGCCATGGTACATTGTGACCTGAATGTAAAAACCATTGAAGTAAGTGGAAAAGATTCCCACTGATTTCACTGGGCACTCGGCTGGACCCAGCCCAACTACAGTCTAAGAGACCCACAAAGCAAAAGCCCAGAGCACCTATTTTTAAAAAGGGGAGGATATTCTTATAATACTACATTGCACCAAGTTCATCCATGGTGTCACTCCACTGAAGTCAGCACTTTACAAATTAAAGGCCTAATCCTGAAAAGGTCCAAACACCTTCTGTGACATCAATGGGAAAAAAAGAAGAGAAAGTCCCTGCGGGATAGGGCCCTGTAATGGGGACACCATTTGCCTGGCTCCCTCATGTGGCCAAGGTGTTTCCACCGCACCCCGTCTGCCTCTTCTCTTTGGGGCCCCTTAGAAGTGCCATACAGTCTCTCAGGGGAGGGTGGATGGTAACCCTGAGAAAATGGGCCGGTAGCCCAAAGTAATTCAAGATAGTCCTCAGCATCCCAAACACAAAGTTCGTCATAGCAACCCCGTAGTTCGTACCCATCTCCAAAGTTCCTGCTAACGGTTAGCAGGAGCTTTGGAGATGGGTACTGACTCTGGAGTAGCACCCCGTAGTTCGTACCCATCTCCAAAGCTCCTGCTAACGGTTAGCAGGAGCTTTGGAGATGGGTACGAACTACGGCGTTGCTATGACGAACTTTGTGTTTGGGATGCTGAGGACTATCTTGAATTACTTTGGGCTACCGACCCACACCGAGCCTTTATTGGGCCCAGCAGAAGCCTAGCCTGTCAGCTCTGCCTCCCTTCAGTGCACGCAATGTTGTGAGAGAGAAAGCAGCATGTATACTCCTCTCCTTCTGATGGCTCCTCCTGATTGGTAGGGAGGGGAGCCCTGCCCAGCATGCAGTATAGGGCTCCTGATCCCAGGGCCTTAACTAACAGTCTGCCCATCCCGCTGCTAACTGCCTGGAATCACCTCCTCTCTTCCTCTTTCAGCCAGTTTCCTAGCATGTGCTTACACCAGTATCCCTGGGATGGGGGTCTTCTGCCCACACCCACATCCTGCTTAGGTTTAAAGGACCAGTATACCCCATTACAGGCCCCAATACCTCTGTCAAGTAGGTATGTATTATTCCCCTTTTACATATGGAGAGACTGAACCAGAGATTCAGTCCAAGGAGTCACTGTCAGGCTTGGATTAAAACTCAGGAGTTTATTATTATTATTATTTATCATCTGTATTACTTTAGGTCCCAGGACCCCCAGTCATTAACCTGAATCCCATTGTGCAAGGTGCTGTACAAACAGAAGGACAGTCTCTCCCCCAAAGAGCTTACAGTTTGGCTCATCCTCCTATGCTCACACTCAATGTTTTCTCTTTCTAAGTTATAAAGATAGGTTAGCAGCACCAGTACAATTATCCTCAAAAATAACATTTAACTCCAAGTCTCAGAGAAAGTCTGTGTTGGAAATTACACCCTTTCCCAAACTTACATAACGATTACCTTTTATTTTGCATCACTGACCCAGGATCTATTTATCATACCATGAAACAAAGGGGAACACTCAATTTTAACTGCTGTTGATATATGCCTTACCTGAAATAGTACTACTGTGAAACTTGTTCAAACGGCCTGCTAGTCTCCAAGCCAATTTAGTTGGATCAATTGTTTTAAGACCAGTAAAAAGAGATTTACAGTCTGCTTAAACTAAGAAGGTGAACAGTTTAAAAAATCTTTTCCACAAAGTACTGTACCAAGGCCCCAGTTCAGCGAAGCACTTAAGCATGCACTTGACTTCAAGCATATGAGTTTTCCTATTGAAATCAGTGGGACTACTCAGGTGTTTAAGTACAGTGCTGGGCCTGAATGGGTACCTTTGATACTTCCTCTGACACAAAATATCTCCTGAGGATAATGGTGTAACTGATAGATTGTTCACACAGGGCTTTGCCAAAGATTCAATAGAGGTGGAATTAATTAGGGTAACTGGATTTTAGTGTCAAATTAATGCCATAAAGAACGTAGGTTAACACAGGTTGTTTTCTTAATCCAACAGCTTGCAATTTCTCTTTGTGTTCATTCTCCTTTCAAGCGGCAGGCTGTATTTATATTATATTATGATAACGTATGGATCACGTAAAAAAAACCAAAAACCTATGTTGGGAATCCAACACTATTTTAAAGGGGGGTTACTAGTTTGGCCCCAACAGCCTCAAGAACTGTGGGAGCGGAAAGGGGATTTAGAGCAACCTGAGTGGTGCAGCTGTGGATCTAGTCCAATTTTCTCATAATATCCTTCAGATGTTGTAAAATACATTTTTGACACTGCAGAGCCAGCCTCCGAGGAGGATAATTTGTCATTACATTAACATATCTGGGCAGAAAGTCAATTGAGCCAAATGCTTGCAATATCTCATAGACTACATGTTCTCTGCTTGAGGACATCAGATTATATTATGAGCATGAACACAATCTGAAACCACATCTCATGAAATGAAAGGGTTGTGGACAGGGTATTAAATCATGGCACAATGAAACCAGGCCATTTTCTCATCTCACAGCTTGTCTGGTCTTCAGAATTTTCCTAATTGAAAAACTGTTTACGCAGAAAAGTCATTTCATTTGTACAGATTTGGAAGTATTAAATCCAAAAATAATATTCAAAATCCATTCATGATTTTCTTGTTTTAAAAAGTTCAGGGAATGATCCAAAGTCCATTGAAGTCAATGGAAAGATTCCCCTTGACATCAGTAGCCACTGAATCAGAAAACAAAAGAAAATAAAAATAATCAAATGGTACTTATTGTGACAAAGCCAGACATTTACAGGGGGAAAAAAGCAAACTACGCTAAAGTTTAATAGCTCCTGTACTGCATATGCTGTTCGCTGATGGAGATTTGCGTTTACTCCAGTTCTTCTAAACTCACATTTTTAAAAAGATACGGTGGCTAGAAATGAGAAAATCCTGCCACTATTCTCACTTGAGATTATTGTGATGTTCTCACTCTCCTGATGTTCAGAATGTGGCCAACTGTTGCTCCATCCACAATCTCATTTATTTAGTTAATACTGAATCCCCAACTTCCTTGGCTCTTCTCTGTGGTTTTAAGTCCTTGTGTGGTATGCAGACTTGGTTGCTTGACAAACTACTTTGGACAATGGAAAGAGATCACATGTGCTTGCCGATTCCTTTAGATCTATCAGCAATTTTGTTACTGTTGACCACAAGGAATCAGGGACAGTCTTGAAGACCTATGCAGGGATAGGTATAGCTGAGTGGTACAGTTCATTTCTTCTGGAAAGAACACAGCCAATAACACTGG